GCCTGGAGGTGGGTGAGGTTGCTGCGGACGGTGCGGAGGCTGGCCAGGACCTGGGGGTGAGAGGGGGATGGGGCCGGGCGGACCCCCCCCGGGACATCCACCCCGGCACTGGGTGCAGGGCCGTGTCCCCCCCTCACCAGGGTGCGGGGATGGCACCTACCTGGGCAAATGGCGTGACAATCATGTCTTCTCCATGCCTGCGGGAGGAAAGGGAGCGTGAGGCTCAGGGAGGGGATTGGGGGGGGCTCAGGGTGGGGGGTTGGGATGGAGCAGGGGGGAGACTCACAGGTCGCTGGCGATGGAAGAGTTGCGGGACATGGCTTTTGGGGACAGGTCGTAGTCGCTGTCGGAGCGGTAGAGGAAGGACTCGCGGCGCTGGCCGTGGGAGAAGGTACCTTGAAGGACCAGCCCCGCGCCCGGGATGGCCTGGGGGTCCAGCGCGCCCCGGCACGGGGGGCCATTCTCCCGGTCGAAGCTGCGAGGGGAGAGGGGACAAGGCTGGTACGGGGTGGGTGGCCCGGGGACCTCCGCCCATGGGTACAGGGGCACAGCCTGGGGGATGCCACCGGCTTTGCCAGGTTCTCCGTGCCACCGTCACACTCAGCCCCCCAGCCTGGTGGCCTCTGTGGTGACACCAGTCACCACCCAGCCTGGCCCTGCCAGCTCCGTCGCCCCGGTGCTGAGAACGGGCACAACTCGGTGCACTCAGACCTCCTGGGTGTCCTGTCAGCACGGTGGGGTCCAGGACCTTTGCGAGCTAGCAAAGCCGGGTTGTCCCATGTCACCCAGGTGGGACAGGACCCCCCACCCTGAAGTCTCCAGCTCCAGAGACCCCAGGCAGGGCTGGCTCCTGCCTGTCTTGTCCTTCCTGTGTCCCCAGCACCGCAGTCCCCGATGGCCCCAAGTCCTCGAAAGCCTCAAAGCCTCCATCAGCCTCGGCTGTGGGTGCCGTGTCCCATGGGGAGGGGACGGGGACAGTGTCCTGGCCACGGCACAGAGCCAGGAGATGCAGAAGGACAGAAACTGCCGGGGAAACCAAGCCCTGGCCCTTGGGGACACGCTGGTGGTGGCTTGGGGACACCCCAACCAGAGCCACCTGAGAGCTGTGCGGGTCCATGGGGGCACAGGGGACGTGGGGACAGGGATGGTGATCCTGCGGTGTCCCTGTGGTGGCCACGGCCGCCTCACCCTCCTCCTGCTCCGCTGGCCCCGGGGTCATGGGAAAGGCTGCGCGTAGGGACGTGCCAAGGGTCACCCGGCGCCTGTCCCCTCCCGCAGCCGCCACCGCCACGGGGGGCAGGAAAGAG